AATATAAAAAATTCACCTCTTTCATTTATCTGACCTAGGCCACGTCATTTCACCTTCAGTTCGTGGCATGATGAAAATGCCAGATCCAGTTGGGATTGAAAAACAAGACAGACTTTCATTGCTTTGAAATGATGATGGAAATTTGCTGCACGTGGCATAAGGAACAAGATTCAGATTTTTGACAATGATCTCAAGTCAGCGTCTTTATATTTTTCCAAGACTGAATGCAGACATCACGGAAAGCACTTCCTACCACGTAGACATTTGACTGGAATCCGAATAAGAAGCTAGGATTTGGGCGTGGGTCTCACGGTGACATGTAGGAGATCACGCGAAGTAGAAATTAAGACTTGTGAGTAATCAAGGGGCCAGATAACAGCTATGGCAGAGAACAGGGTAAAATCAAGATGTCCTACTGAAGCCCTGCTTTGCACTCGAAGTACAAAGAATGAATAGTAATAATAATTTCCCTCTGGTTCATTTGATTCTATCGTCTCAAATAGGTTAACGGAAGTGAGAAAATAATCATGTTCAAAGAATTTATTGATGAAAATACTACATAGCGTTTTTGTCAAAACGAAAGAGGGAGATTCATATGATAGTCACTTCTTCATACTAAACAAAAACGATTGGTAACATTTAACACCTAAGCAACTGAACTAATCTATTCCGTAAACGTGTGATTAATACTTATAACTGTTTTTTTTCTAAGTGAATTTGACTATATATGCGCATATATGATTGATTCCAGAGTGGTTTATTAAGCGGATTTTTACCGACACTTGACAATTACTTCCTACCAGTTTTAAAAAGTCTTCAAAATGTCTAATAAGAAGGAAGTGAAGTCTTCATTTTTTGATTAATTTTCGGATATTTTATTACTTTGTCAACATTACTTTGCTCATTATTATTATGATTAGAATATGTACAAATTATGTGAAAGATCATCACAGAGGAAGGATTTGTACGAATTCCTTCCTAACATATTGCTTTTAATCTATTCAAATGAATTCCGAGTGTCGCTGCTGTACTTAGAAGTCGAACCCTTAGAGAATGAGAATGCCTGGATGAAATATGATGAGTAACATTAAGATATCTGTTAGTGGCGAATTAATGGTCTGTTTTGACAACGCGAAATAGTGTGGAGCTTCAAATTTAGCCCTTTGCTTAACCAAGATAGGTGATTTTCGTAAACTTGAGGGCGGACGTTTCTAAGCGTTTGTTCAAATTAATTGGCTCTACATGAAGAGTTTGTTGATTTTTTTCTATTCCATCCTTTGCTATTGTTTCCTTTGTGTTCAACTTTATACTACTTATCAGTAGTGAGTAGTATAAATTGTATTTCGTTAACTATATATTTATTATTATTATTATTGTTCCCTTGGTTCCTAGTGGAACATAGGGCATCAGCTGCACGTCTCCACTTGCTTCTGTCTTCTCCTGTACTTTTCACCTGCCTCCATGTTAGTGCACACTCTTTCAACTCCTCTTCACGCGATCTCCTCCATGTCACCCTTGGACACGTCCCACTCGCCGCTTCCCTTTCGGGTTCCACTCGAGCGATAGCCTGACGCGCGTGCGATGTCACCCAGCGGCCTCCTCAGCGTGTGTTCAATCCATCTCAATCCACTTTCTCCTGCATATTCGTTGGTTGGTGATTGGTTCTTCTTTTGTTTGTTCCTAGACATAGTTTCTTGTTGGTGATTCTTTTCGGCCCCGCCATCTGATCTTCAGTATAGAGCCAGCGAAGACAGTTGTTGATGAAGGTCCACAACAGGCTGTTAGAAATATTCTTTGTGACCCGCCCGCCAAGTTTCTCATCTGTATAGAAGAACTGACTGACTTGACGTTTGTATTGAAAATCTGACCGAATTTTGTTGCTGATGCTGGCTGAATGACGAAGATTTCCATATTGGTTTCTCGCCTTCCCGATTCTCGCTCGATTTGACATCCTCGTCCGTTCCTCCTATAGTTGAGACAATGCTCCCCAGATCGGTGAGTGAATGAAGTAACCTCTTTCAAATCCCTCCCGTTGATGGTGATTGCCGCTGGGTGTTGTTGTTACTGATGTTGTTGGTTGGTTGGCTATTTTCATAACCTCCGTCTTGTCTATGTTCACATGGAGTCCTGTCTTCGCCGACTGCTTCTTCAACCAGTTCGTCGCTTGGTTTTCGCTTGTAAGTCTTCGATTGTGTGTGACATGAAACATAAATCATCCACGTCCGAAATCCAGGTCTTCTAGGTTCTTCACGTCGGTGCAGGATATTCCTGTCTTCTCGTTTCCCACTGTCTGACGCATAATCCAGTCAGTCCACCACAATTAGGAATATCATTGGTGATAATAAGCACCCTTGTCTGACTCCTGTGTTTACTCCAAATGCCTTGCTGAGTTTTCCGTTGTGAATCACTTGACATGTGCTATTGTCTTACAGCCTGTCACTTAAAGGATCAAAATAATTTGCTGAAAAATAAAACTCACTGAATATTTAACCCAATTTCACCAGTATTAATATATATATATATATATATATATATATATATATATATATATATATATATATGGCAAAGCGGTTAGGACGCTCGCCGACCATACATATGGTCCGGGATCCGATCCCCGGCTTGCGAACTCCTTTACCTGACTTAGCCAGAAATAAAGCTCGTGAAGAGGAAAGGCTGGGCATGAGGCTAACAACTCCATCCGTAAAAAGGAACACTGCTACAGAAACTTCAAGCCTCTAGCTTGAAATCCTATGTTCCACTGGGGAACGTGAAGGAATAAAAAAACGCTGGGATAAGACGTGAAAAGCAGAGCACAGACTCGGATCGAAACACTTTATAATTACCAACCCTCTCAATGGAAGAAGAAGTCAAAGTTATATACAACAAAAGAGCTAGGCTAGAACTGTTCAGCGACCACCGGGTTTTGAACTGAAGCGTTCTCTTGAATTCGACCCACTACACTCCCCAATCCCAACTATTGTTTGTTATTGAAATTTTCCCTATGTAATTTATAAAGATTCTATTTGTTTTGTAGTAATTGTCTTCCTATAGTTAAACACTATCTGCCGTACATTCTTTATTTATATTTCACTCTCTGTTGAACACTGTTCACTCTAACCCTTTATTCTTCCTCCGGACATTCACGCTCTGTTTAATCTGACTGTGAATGGCTCTTGACATAGCTCTGCTGTTTCTTCCTTAGTAATGCACAGTGACAGTACATCTGATTTAATTCAGCCTTCTGTACTTCACAATGTGAAGGTTGTACATTATATTCATTATTTTATATATATAATATAGTACCGTAATTTAGATAAATCCAGTGTTTTTCGATTTTATGCGTAACTGAGATGTTTGGTTAAATTAATCCGTTGCAGTTATCGTTCCGGACTTCTTAAAGGAAATCTACACAGTTAAATTGATAAACCCATATAGAAGGCAATAAACTGAGCAGTTTGTCTTTAGTTCACAAACTTATTATTGATTGATTAGTGAATAAGCAGCATAACCTAGCTGCGTTTAAAGTTCACTTATTTTCTCTTTTGTTTTTTTTACTTTTGTACAAACGATAGCACATTCAAAAATCCATCATAACAAATGACAAAATGAAGGGAATAATTCGTATAGGAAATTTCTTCAACAAAAAATACAAACAGTTAACGAGTGAATTTATTGTGAGGAAGAAAACGAATTTCGATACATTTGTTCATTTTTACCGATGGATGATGTTATAATGAAAATAGTTGTTACGTAATTTGCATGTATATTGAATTGTTTTCCTCAGTATGCTTTCGAGTCAGTTACTTTTATTTCTGTCGTTAAACAAAAATGGCAGTTATCTATAGTCTAATTGGCATGGCTAGATATTTGTAACTGAATGTTATTTGAACCGTGGTGAGTAGCAGTGGAATTCAGGATGTGAGTCTTGTCCTATTTGGGGCTCATCGGTTGGATGTACCTTCACCTCTAGTCAGTGATGCTATTCACGCTAAGACTTTAATTAAGCTACCGTAGTCTCAAACGCTTAGATAATATCCATTTGGTGGTTACTTGACCATGAGAGTCACTGGATATTAGTTACGATTTATCGAAACTTTGAATTTTCCCCAAGTTTGATCTCGCCAGACCAAAAATGTTTAGACTCCAAGACGAAGAACCCCTCTTCATGAATTTATCTGCTGGCCATCACAAATCAGCTAACATCAATTCGACTTCAAGACATCGCTGAAACGTATGTAGTAGCAGTCTTTGTACTGACGAAGACTTAACAGTAAAAGCAAACAAAAGGTAGTCCATAAGTTTTAATAAGTGTTTAATTTTAAGTTCATACTCATGAATGACGACAATCCTTCAAAACACACTTAGTACTGCTTACTTTAGCTTTTGTTTAATTTGAAGTTGACATGAATAACAGGCCACTTACCAAACAAGTAGAACTGAATCAAAGAATATATGATATTTATATTCCTATTATATCTATGGGTTCCTAGTGGAACATTTTCATTTCTTCCTGTTCTCTTCTGTCTTTTTTTAGCTGCATCCACGACTGCCAAAGAGCTTTGATTTCTTTTTCCGATGATCTCATCCATGCCTCCTTCAGATCAACAACCAACTTATATTTTTTCACATCAGGGTTCCACTAGAGGGCCTACCTGGTGAGTGATGTCGCAACGGTCTTCTCAGAGTATGCCTAGTCCGTCTCCATTTTCTTCGGCATATTTGTCAGACAGCAGACAATAGATTCTTTATTAGTACGCTGCCTCCCGGAGTTCCTTCCTGCTTGTCCTTGCTGGTTATATGATCTTCACTATGGAAAGACAGCAGATATTGATGAAAGTCTGTAGCAGGCTGTTGGAAATGTTCTTCGTAACGCACCCCCCAAGGCCTTGAATCATATTGGAACAGTGACTTAATATTAGCACTGAAATTTGGGATCTTGCTCCTCATGTTGAGCACAGCATATTTCCACACTCATTTCGAAGGAATCAAGGTCTGTCTTGTTTTCCTAGCCCGATTGGATTGGATTTGATATCCTCATTCTTCCCACCAACGGCAGTTGAAACGACGCCACTCATTAGGTAGGTGACAGAAGTGACTTCCCTTATATTTCTGTCTTGGATGGTGATTAGGGGTTTTTTTCTTAGTCGGCTGGGTGTCTTCATCACCTCTGTCCTCTCTATGTTTACCTGAATTCCTGTCTTCGCTGCCTCACTTGTCAATTTGTTGGTTTTCGCCTGCAGATCTTAGAGTTTGTTTGACATGAGATATAAATCTTAACTAAGTGTAAAGCTTGATGCGCTGACAGAGGACTATTCCAAAAAGAAATTCAGTTCAAATTACAGCTAAAAAGTGATAATAATAATTTTTACTTTATTCCAAAAACAGTGCTAATGACACAGCAAGGAATTTTCAGCATTCAGTACAATATTGCATCTAATTTACTCAAAAAGGACAGGAAAAAATAAATAAATAAACATTACATAATACTAATAACAAAACGTTGTTATAGCAGTTATGTAGCAAATTACAGTATTCGGTACGGAGAAAAATATGCATAAAGTACAAAATTATAGTAATAATAGTAATAACAACTAAAATAAAATAGCAAAGCTATAATTAAACAATAGAAAGGGTGACACCATAAAATTACAGAAAGATGAACGATGAAAGGGTCGATTCACTTTGCTAATTACACAGTAATTTATATGTTTCACGTCTAACAGTGTCTTCGTCACATATAATATGGACTAAATACGGTATTGTAGAATTTTTGTACTTAGTGGTTCGAGCATATAACTTTTTATATTGACTTCTCGTCCTACCTGATGAGATGCAAGGGGATAGCTGTGAATAAAGGGGGCGCAGGGGGTTTGACAGTAAGGTCTTTGCCCATTTTGTACAGGAATTTATGTGTCTCTCGACTATAATATTCGCGTGGTGAACTCACGCAGTGGCAAACCACAAGCCCTACTTACAGCATTTAATACCCTTCGTAATATGATATAGTCTTTTTTGAGAAGCCCAGGAAAGATTAATGGAGAGCAATAGAGTACAATAGGTAAAATACAGGAGTTTACAAACTGCAGAAGTAAAGGTTGGTTGATACCTGACTGTCTTAACCTTTTAATGTAGAAGGTAGGACGAAAACTTTTCCTAGAGATTGATAAGATGTGGGATGACCATGAAAGGTCAAAGGAAAGAACTAATCCAAGGTATGTAATGCTTGACTTGGTTTCAATTTCAGTACCATATATGCTACAGGCATCATGGGAACTAATTAGTTCATGTATGTCACGTCGATGCTTGAAATTAAAGTTAGCTGCCTGACATTTGGAAGGATTTACCATAAGACCACTTGCTGATGTCCAACAGAAAGCTATTAAGTTTGGAGCAGTCAGGCTCGAAAGTGATAGGCAGTGATACAATCAGATCATCCGCATATTTGACAAAGTTAGTTTCGTTTAAATGAGGCAGGTCGTGTAGGAAGTAAGAAAGAAGAAAAGCAGAGAGGATGGCACCTTAAGCAACACCGGCTTTTGTAAGCGAGGCAGAAGAAGATTTGTCATTATATACAGTATATTGCATTCTATCAGAAAAATAAGAATGCAATAAACTCTTTGCCCAGGATCCTGTTTGCGTCAACGAAAGCTTATTTAATATAAGACCCCTAGGTACAGAGTCAGAAGCAGATGTGTAGTCTAGGAAAGCACCACGAGCATGTTTAGCACCTTTGTCTAAACAAGAGACAACATTGTGATATAAGACGACCGCAGCATCCAAGGTACTTCTACCATGTTTATATGCAAATTGTTTAGGATCATTAAAAGGTTTCAATGCGGGTTCAAGACGAAGTAAAAGTAATTTTTCCATCAATTTTAAAAAAGGATAAGTAATTGCAATAGGCCTAAATTTAATATCAGTACCAGAAGATGGTTTTGGAATGGAGATAACTTTAACGTTTTTCCGTACAAAAGGTAGAACGATACGGGAAAAGGAAGCATTAAAAATGTTAGTAAGAGGATAACACAAAATATCAGCCCAGTTCCTGAGGACAAAGGCAGGCGAAAATGGTTGAAGGGCAAAAAATAATTCCTTGAAGGTTGGTGAAGATTTTCAGGATCTGGGTAGAATTTTAATTCATATCGCTCGGAGTCTACAACCACTGATTATTTACATCCACAACAGTCCGTCCATGCTGTTCACACCACTTTATTTGCCTAAGATCAATGTTTAATTATCAGATGTTTTGGCCTGACCATCTCTAACTATTTTCCAAATTAATATGAATTAATGAAAACAAAACATGTAGATCAGTGAAGAGTCTCTTTTCGGCGAATTCATTTTCTTAGCTGTACAATCCCAAATATATATGCATTGTTTTGTATGTATGTGTACATTAAGTTTGTCAAATAAAATTACAATTGGTTAAGGTTGGTAATACAAGTCAAAAAAATTAGATGTTAATGAGGTGTTATTACCAACCTTTACCTGTTTAGTTAAAATAACCTTAACCAATTGTAATTTTTATACAATTGGTGGATGGTGGCTAGCAGTGGAATCCAGGATGCGCATTTCGTCCTATTTGGGACTCGTCAGCTGGATGTACCTGCATTTCTCAGTGAGTGGTGATGTTCCCACCGAGGCTCGAACCCAGTGCCCATAGTTTCAAACGCCAAAGCGTTATCCACTAGACCACTTGGGCCACGAGAGCCACCTCTTGTGCGACGGGTCATTGTAATTGTAATTTTGTTTGAAAAACTTAATGTAAACATACATACAAAATAACACATACAGCTAAGAAAATAAATTCGCCTAAAAGAGACTTTTTGCTGATCTACGTGTTTTGTTTTCATTAATACCTGGATGGGGATTATCCATAATATGAATTAAACCTACGTATCTTGTCGAGGGAAGCGGAGGTTTGGCATGTGTAGCACATGTTTTATTCACCTCAGTCATTCAGTATTCTTAACTTCGTTAATTGAATTATCCATCATACCTAACAGTCTACACCCACCCCCATCATTACTTACAGTATTGTTCTGATTCACCTCATGAAGTGAATGTAGGCGCCAACGATCAGAGATCTGTAATCTCCTTCCCTATATCTTCTGTTCCTGATGGCTATGTGGAAGGTACACTGAAGTCAAAGGTTAATAACTATATCTGACTTCATTCGGTGGTCAAATGTTGCTACATATCCTTAATTTTCACTCATTTTTGCCCGATATTAGCCAATAACCTTAAAATAATTACATTTAACAGTTATCGCACGTTCACGGAGTCATTTGTATTTCCCACCCTTTGTGAACGCCAGAATCCTACTGGTTATTGACTTATTCAAACTTATCAGTGGATTTAATATTTGTTAGGGTCATTTAAACAAACACATATTCATTATAGCCCCCAAATGTTTTGACTGATGAATGAAACAGTAAAGGCATCTTTCTCACTGGTGTATTTTATTACTCTCGAAAGTCGATAGGACTGTTGTTGTTAGGTGGTGGCTGACTTTATAATTAGCTTATTTGAAAGGTTTCCATCTTTGCATTAATTTCGTATAGCTCTCATTCTACTAGGCTGTATTATAAGCCATATCGAAATGTACAGTAGAATAGGTAGTGAAGACATTCTGATAAAATTATTATCAAACGAAATACATGCCATGGATTCTGTTGTCAGCAGCCATCAACCAAATACAAAATTCTACTTTATTTTCATACAGGCAAGTGGAATCTTATTAGTTTTGAGAGAAAACATCAATCACACAATGAAATTAGTAATTAAACTTAGACTTCCTAGACATGAATAGAAATATCTCAATATTTCAAGCAATCTACTTAATGCTGACAACAAACAGTGAAATATCAATCATTATTTAGTATTAGGCCAAAGGTCTTGAAGTTATTCAAACAAACTTGAACGAGAACAATTGAAACATTTATCATACAGTGAAAATAATAAGAAATAATTAAACCTAGAGAAAATAGACTGTTCGGATTTCATTAAACTAATGGATCAATTTGATAATGGATTCATATGAAGCCAAGGTGTTAAAATGACGCCATACAGAAAACAATAAAGGCAACATCACTAGATAAATTATATAGAAGTGATTATTTGGCAGGCGATTGCATAGGTCAATGCATTCAACATTCTCCATTCAAAACTAATAATACTCTTAGTCATACTGGATGATGTGATCCCAGATAAAGCATTACAGCGTAATATATATATATATACAACAAAAGAAAAGCAATATTCAATAATAAAATGGCAAATACTCAACAAGCATAAGTAAAATTAGTTTCTGTAAGCGTATAACATGCGTACATGAGTTAGTTTTATGAGCGTACAGTTAGGCTTAATATAGGGGTGCTACACTTTTGCCTAACTATGAGAACCCCAATCAGAAATTGAGAAATTTTATTGGAACGTATACAGGAACGTTACCCTATGTAACTCTATTTTAACACTACTTTTCTATAAAGCTTTTTTTTCAAATTACGCGCTTTTACGGCGGAGTCATATGATTATCCATAGAGATTCATCAAAGTTTTTTATCAGGTAGTTTCATTTTGAGTAACCCATTAATCATGTCGAAGCTTTAATCAATAAATTCTCTGACGAAAATATAATTTTCTCAATCATTATCTTGTTAACTTTCAAAGCAATTCACTTAACCAGTAAATATTAACCAAGGTGTGGAAAACCTCATCCATTTTCGCGTTGTTTTGAGGCTCTTCAAAAGTGTAAACCAATAAATTCAGAAGAATCAAACCTAGACAGTCATCATATTTCTCAGTTGACCACTAAGTTGAAATCCAATAATATATTTTGTATATTTTAGCCAATTTGGATTACAGTGGAAACATTTCGAATTAATTACTAGTAAGACTATCCATAGGGGATCATTTTTTAAATATAGAGTGTGCACGCTTGAACTGACAATGAAATCTAATAAGCATTGTATATCATCCAACTATCTCACGCGGTAACATATTTCCAAATATCTTTCAAATTCCAGAAGATTCAACATAAATTTTCACAACTACTGATAGACTTTAAAAAAATTTAGGATGGAACAATATTATTTTCAAGGCTTCTGGAGATAGCATTCCAAAGTTATTCAGCTCACTCCAACTAGATATATAAGCTTTGAAGCAATTGAGATTACCGCTAATAAGAATGGTAACAATAAGAACCCGATGAGCCGACCAAAACCTACAGCCCCAACCACAATAACAATACTACTGGCAAGTGAAAACAAAAAGTAAAAACGGACCACTGACAGACTGCTTTCACTATCTCAAGCAACAGATAAAATACTTGATAACAATAAAAATTATGCTTGTTTTAAATGACCTTAGGAAACATTAAATTCATTAAATTTAAGGTGTTGACAGTTCGCCCAAGTAGCTAATAAGAAATCGTGTAGTTAAAATTGATTCAGCTCTCTAAACTAAGTCAGACAGGATACACTCCTGATGAGCTCATTACCAAACGAGCAAAACGGTTATCCAGTGCTCGGATTTCTTTGACCTAGTTAACAAGCACTACCGGCTGATGTGATTGGTATACAGCTATTCATCTCAGTCATTTCTATGCATTTAAGCAATTTATAAAAAGTTTTATATGCTTAAAAGTGGAATTTATACTTCTCAGTATAGAATCGATCAAGTTGCTCATTCGTTTTCTGGAAAATTTCAACTGTTTTTCATCCTAAGCATTTCACAATCTACCTTGTCTTTTATACAAAGTTAACATTACACAGAAATATTCAACAACTGAAGCTAATCACCAATATTTCTCATAAGTGATCAGACCATTTTTCCTTTTAAAAAATCATATGTACGTATTATTTACCAAGCATTTGTAGACCTTATTGACTGAGACATGAAATATAATCAGCATAACTGTTTAACAAGACTTAATGTTTCGTGTCATGCACATGGATATGGCAGAGGAATACGAAGTATTTATGGGTTGCGTTCTTTTCCCATTTGTTTATTTTTTTTACTGTCAGTCTATCAAAACTGTCAAGCCATGAGGTGATAGAGGAAGAGAAACAGAGAGAGAGGCGAAGTGGTCATTTATTTATTGCTCAGTAATTTATCAACGATCAATAATGTCGAATTAATGTATTCACATGGATCGAAAGAAGTAAGTAACTTGAGTTTATTGATTTGGCTTTTCTCTGTGATTAAAGTTTAACTACTATTTAACACATTGTTAAATAGTACAAAATGTATTAAGAAATTAATTAATTTCCCGGATAATCCCTTTACTTGTCCGATTTCCTGAGATCTATTGATATGGTAAATGATACTGTATAACACTATGAGTCTTCACCAAATAAATTTACTCTATGATGGAATATTCTGGATCTCATTGTTTCACTGAAGCAAACTTATTAGTCCAGTTATAGCATATGGGTTTTCTATACTAATGGATCAGTATTCATCAGACAATCATTAAGACATGATTACTTGCTGATCACATTCATTCCTTTGAGTTCCGCGTGGAATATAGGGCGTCGAGAATTGGGCTCTGAAGTCTAAGTAGTTGTAGGGGAGTTCCTAGTCTTCTCCGAGGTCACTATCGATTCGTGTTCTAGGCGTAGTTTAGAAGTGCGTTGGCAGGAAATCTTGCCCGGACTGTGTGTGCGGCCGACGAGGTTTCCACCGCTGAAACACCTATTCCATTGCATCACAGATATACCAGTCAATTTAAAGGTCTGTGTACAAAAAGGGAATATAAGCGATTCAAACAGTTGCGGTAATGTAATCCTCTAGTTCATAGAATAGTATGAATGGGTGATACTGTAAGTAGATCATTAGTGACAGAGAAATTCAAATCACTTGTTTAAATAATCTGAGTTGACACACCATTCTAATGGTTAAGTATTAACTTATCTTGAAAAACAGCGACAATAGACTAACATTAGTCTACCAAACTAAAGCTATCTAAGATAAATGAATTCTCGATATCATTATTATATTATTATTTCCTTTAATTCCTAGAGAAACATAGGGCTTCAGCCGCGCGTCTCCACTGCGTTCGGTTATCTGCCAACGTTTTCACCCTGCTCCAAGTCTGCCCACAAGCTCCCATCTCCTCTTCACATGACCTCCTCCAAGTCACCCTTGCACTGACGACCAACTCGCCGTTTCCCTTTCGGGTTCCAGTCGAGCGATGGCCTGGTGTGTGATGTCACTTGATGGTTTCCTCAGAGTATGGCCAATCCATCTCCTTTTCTTCCTGCCTATTTGTTTTACAATCGGTTCCTGCTGGGTTGGTTCGCTCGTTGACAGAGATCCCTGTTGCTGATCTTTTCTGGCCGGCCATCTGATCTTGATTAGTATTGAGCTAAGACAGCTGATGATGAAGGTCTGTAGTTTGTTTGAGGTGCTCTTTATGACGCGCCAGGTCTCTGATCCGTATATTAAGTAGCACTGACCTCACATTGGAGTTGAAAATCCGGATCGTATTTTTGATGCTGAATGCTGTTGACCTCCACACGGACTTGAGAGTAATGAAAGCTTGTTTTGCTTTCCCAACCCTTGCTTTGATATCTTCGTCAGTTCCGCCTGTAGTTGAAATGATGCTTCCCAGGTAGGTAAAGGAGGTTGGTTGTTTCAGGCTCCTCCCATTTATGCTGATTGTTGTCTGTTGTTGTTGCTGTTGGTGTTGGCCAGGAATCTTCATCACCTCTGTTTTATCTATGTTCATCTGAATGGTGTCCTATCTTTGATGCTTCTTCTACCAACTTGTCGCTTTTCACTTGCATATCTTCCAGTTTTTGGGAAATCAGATATCATTATCTCAAGCTAACCATAAACAAGAATCATGATTTTCTCATATATACTGATATCGTGAACCGTGAATATGAAGGACTTAAATCTTTGACGGATGGTCAATATGCTGTACTGGTACTCATCTGCAGCTTACGGTGGCTTAAGTTAGTCATCATCAGAATGAGATTGTTGAACTGCTTGGAATAACTTTCGTAGGTAACACTAAATAACACCTCTGCTGAGTATCAGCGATTAACAGACCTCAACCGTGATACGAGTTTAGTTCAAACCGAACAAACAAATGAATGTACTTTAATTCATATTTTTCATTCCGAGTCGAAATACCGAGACCCGAAATTTCAGCTTCATTTTGATATATGAACCCTTTGGCACTGCACCATAAGTATTTCCAAAAAATGTTAACTTTTATCAACAGCTGTCCGCTGATTCCATACTGAGGACTAGATGACCTGTCATAAAGGTTTAGCAACAAGGAACTTTAACAAAGAACTAACCAACAAACTGTTGCCCAAAAGATATGTAGAAGAAAGTGGAGATGGATCAGACACATACTGAAAAGACTGTTGAGTGTCGTCGCTCCAGTGGAACCCAAATGAGAAGTGATGAGTTGGGCATCCGAGGTTGACACTGGAGAAGATGGTGTGGTCAGTGCTACTGATAAGATTTTTCAGTAGTATTTATATAAAGAGACATTCATTGGTGTAAAAATATCACATAGCAGGGAGATACATTTGATGTCACAGAAGGCAGATGATGCAGCGTTTTGGAGATACATTGGAGATGTGAAAACAAACACAACATGAAGGCCAGAATTAGCACATCATAAAGATCTGTACAAATGGTGCATTCAAGATAAGGTGTACATAATCCGGTTGCAAATAAACATTCCTTCACCAAGTCGTTTGTCTTCTACCGTTTCAATGGAATCAGATGAAGAGGGCTGCGAAGAACAGGACAAAAAGGAGATGCACTGTTGAAGCCTAACATTTCACTCAGAACCCCAGGCAGAATAATAGTAATACTATTACCAGCACTAATAACTTAATAGCTAAATAAATAAGTAACTTCGTCGGTTATAGTTGGAAGTAAGAACCATGAAACTATTTAATCATACCCACTGCACAAGTGGTAGATGGTCCTAGTGATACAGTAGGCACTTCAAACGATAGCTGTCGGGCTGAACTTTTAGTGGGAACACCAACACTGACTACAGAATCTACGCACGTAACCTCATGTATCCTAAATATAGTAAAAAAAACGCGATTCTTCTGCTAACCGTCATTAATTAATATATTAAATCCATTAAAGTTACGTTTCCCGCCCCACTCCCCGAAAAATGCAAATCTGTGCATTATTTTAAACAAAGATCACTTGGTGTAATAAAACAAAATCAGGGAGAAATTCAAAAACGACACATCGGAGTTTTTTTTAAATTTAGAATGCTATATTTCACTTTTGCCACGTGCTTTTGAATTCACTCAGAGAATGTATATTCGTGCCTTTAAATGATTAAAACGGGGTGATATTTTGTTAATATTCTTTATTTTATAAACAGTATAGTCCATGTTAATTAGTTCATGATTTATGTTGAATATTTGTCATATTTATTTTTGAATAAATAGAAAACTCTCAGTAATAAAAACAAAACAAAAAACATTGAAGCATTTAATTATTCATCCAATGAGTTCATAAATATTCTGTTTAGTTTTAACTGATTTACATTTAAATGAACTTTTGTAAAATAAAATTTAATTCTTAAATTACTCTGTATTCATTTTTATTAATAATAAAAATGATATTTATACCTATTGTGAAATTTCATGTAGGCGTAATAGTAATTAACTTGTTGCTGATAACTATAGAGTTGAAAATGTGTTGCTTTGCCCATTTTGGTCTGAGTAACAGGTTGATATTGTAAACAGCAATGTCATGAAGAACAGGAATAGATCAAAAATGGGTGTTGTTGTTTGTTTTTAAATGTGGTTGTGTTTACTGAGCTGGAGTGAAGCTTCCATTGTTCTTCTAGACAACATCTTCACAGCCCACTTCGATGTCAACTGACGAAATCATTGAAAGTATTGTCTAAAATAATAATAATAATGATATACTTTATTCCAAAAACAGTACTGGTGATACAGAAAGGAATTTTCAGCATTAATCACAATAGTGCATCTAATTTCCTAAAATTATAAATAAAAATTAATCACACGTAAAGTTTTCCACATTTACAATAGGGATGGGTAATGTCTAAAACATGCAGCATATAAAATGGAAATAACAATAATGATGATAACAGCTAAGGTAATAATAATAATACAAGTGAAAATTGCCGTTGGCTTGTGCCACACAGTATTGTCAATGTGGTATAGAAATCCTAGCATGTTTAAAAATATTGAATATAATCTTCTCTTTACATGATATGGTGAGGCGAAAAACAAAGATTACATCAGTCATAGAGATAAGTTTGTGTTTGCAGTTATGGGGTAAAACAAAGAAGCAACAGGACCATAAATATAATAGAAATAATAAAAGTAAAACTTGAAGGTATATAAGGGTGGATGGAGGAAATTGTTTATTTACTAGATGAAAAAAGGTTAGTTAATTCTTGCATGACACTATTTTCACTATTACATAAAATACGTGCCAAGTATGGTGTAATAGAATTTCTATACTTAGACATGCGAGTATACAGTTTTCTGAAATTACTTCTTGTTCTACCTGAGGCGGAGATGCAAGGTGAAAGCTGAGGGTAAAGCGGATGCTCCAAGTCAGACAAAATCCCTCTAGCAAATTTATTGCATGAAGTCAAGTGCCTATCGACAACAACGTTAACTATGTGGTCCACTGGGACACCACTCACCCTACTGACAGTCTTCAGTATTCTACGAATTGTGACATAGTCCTTTTTAAGCAAACCAGGAAAGAATAAGGGTGAACAATAAAGAAGAATAGGTAGGATGCAAGAGTTTATGAACTGTAAGAGGAGGGGTTGATTTATACCTGAGTGTCTTAACTTCTTGATGTAAAATGTCAGGTGGAGTATTTTACTGGAGATCGCTAAGACATGAGAAGACCAGAAGAGATCAGAAGAGAGAATAAGTCCAATATACTTAATTTCTGATTTAATTCCTATACCATTGCCGTCAATCTTACAACTATCATGAGAATCGATGACTTCTTTTAATTGCTTTTTACATCTTAGGCTGAAATTAACAGTTTGACATTTAGAAGGAATCAGTTTAAGACCGCTAGATTCAGACCATTTACTGACTCCCGAAAGAAAGCTATTTATTTTGGTACAACCTAGCTAGGAACTAACAGCCATCGAAACTGCTAAATCATCAG